ACGATATATTTTGCGAACAAATCGGGAGAACTCAATCTTCCTGAGCACTGGGGCCTCCTCCTCCTCTTCATCCTCTTTCATCTTTTCCAAATTCTCATTATGAAATAATCAACTTCTTGACGCTCCCCCGAGAATTGTGTTGCTCGACTCTTCCGGAGAGTGGAAGCGAGAGCGAATGTATTATTGTTTCCAGATATTATAATTGATATATTTGCTTGCCAATCTTCCGTGCTTTTAAAACGATCCAAAACTATTATTGCTCATCGCGAGATGATTTATCCACTGCAAAATCCCCAACAGACCCATGCCACGGCCGCACTCATGCCACTACTCTCTATCCTCATTTCCATAAATTATCATTGCATTTTTGAGAAAACTTTCAGAACAAATTCTATTTCGATGCCTTTTACAAAAACCATCCAGACAAGCAGCACAAAATTCTTGAAAAAGAAATAATTTTTTGGATAGCAGCAGATAAGGAAGCAGTCAAAGTTAAATACGCATACAGTAGTAAAAAAGAAGCATCTGGTACAGAAGCAGTTTATGCGAAAAATACTATTATAATACAGAAATGATTGAGGGAAATTTAATGAAAGTGTATGTTTCTGTCCATTAAAATTCACGAGGAAATAAAGAATTTCCACGAACAATTCAATTATAAAAAATAATAAAATAACTAATAACTTTTGTTAGCTTGAAAACATCATGACTGAAATTTAGCATTTACATAAGGAATACCTAAACGGCTCGGGCAAAACTGTGAATATCCCATGTTACTGATGTTACTGATATATGTCAAGCAAAGCTATATAGGACTTTTCGACCTCTGATTGCCTATTTCCAGTTAATACACATCGCCTGTTCGATGCATGTGTCTTACATCACCAGCGACGATCTGAGCGATCACTTGCTTCCTTATCGGTACCATAGATCAGTAATTTTAGCAGTTCATCATCACGATTATTATAATCAGCTTACCAAAAAATAAAGCGTTCTTAATTTAAGCTAGAAACAAAAAATGCGGTGCAAATTTGGCTAAAATCGAAGCAATCGTTAGCCTGAAGTCAGACAGTATCACATCAAGAATATTCGGTTCCATACCAAATCTAGGAATTTCTAGGGGTCAGTATTTGGGAAATTCTTTCAAATCACCTGTCTCGCAAAAATTCCTTCACCCATACAACAACTGGAATCCATGTCATTGAAGGTAGACATATTAGAAATCCGGAAGTAGAAAGCGATTCCACCAATAGTTTTTAAGCTTCCCCTTCCAAAAACTGTTGGAATTATGCCAAAATTTTAACTTAAAGTGAAAGAGGAAGACGATAAGCAAGTGGTTTGGCAGGTTCTTCTGGGAAAACACATTTACAAAGTTCGATTTTTTTCGAAGAAAATTATTGTAATCAAACATACAATAGCAAAATCTTGAGATGCAAGTTCCAAAATGCACCTTTCTTTCCGCAAAATATGTATTTCGAAAGCCAAAAAAAACCTAGAAAAAATAAAAAATAAATTTTTGAATAAAAAACAATAAATAAACAAGAAATTTCGCAAAAGTTCCTCAGTAGCGCTGGATTTCAGTGAAAATCACGAAATTTCGCGATGAGACGCTGAACTATTCTCATGCGGTGTGGTACCGCGTTTTTATTGGATTGCGATTATGAAATAATCAAGCAAATTTGCAAAACGTTTTCCAAAGCAGGCACAATCATTCGCCTTCCTGA